ACAAACCCAGGCATCGAATGCTCGATAGCAACGGGGCTCACGCACTGGGTCCACGAAGTCCGGGCAAACGCCGGTATGGCATGCCGGCGTCAGTGTCACCGCCTTCCGCGCCGTTCCGTCGGACCAGCGGTCCGAGCGCACATGCCGCAGGGCGGCCCTGCCGTGTAAACGACCCATAGCTTGCCAAACTACCCTTAGTAACTTGGAGCGCTGACAGCCTGCAAGTTTTCCCTGTCAACTAAACCGACAACCGTCTGTCCCGCCTGCAAGCTTCTCATGACATCCTCACGGACCACCATCAGCAGTCGGTCGCTCTTGTTGCAGACAGTTATGCGCGGGAGTGTGGCCCTGAGCTCGAGCGACAGGGCTCTTTCTGGCAGCTCGCGCACGCTACTGCCCAAGCAGATTCCACGGCTGCAGCTGAAAGCGCCAATGACCGCAGTGACAGATTTGATCTCCCTGGACAGGCACTGAAAACCATCCCTAGCTGACATTCTGTGAGTTGATCGTTGCACTACGTAACTGCACCGGCTTGCCTTCGAGCGGCAGGCGAGCTTGAGAAGAACAGATTTCCACGCAGCATGCTTGTGTTGTATGCTGCCATGATGGGACACTGCCAGGTAACCAACAAGTCAGACAGTCATGAAGATTACTATATGCTGTCAGTACACATCATGATATCGAAAGCAACAAGAAGTTAGGTAATGATAGCATTATTGACGGCAACAACACCGGCAGCAACACTTTACCTGGTTACTTGTCCAGTTTACCCGCTTATAACAAAAACCACCATCGCCCACCACCACAACAACTGCAACAACCGCAGCAATAACCACCACCAATTTTTCAATTGAACGCGGCGCGAGCGAGCTCTGCGCGGGGCGGGCGTATTGCCGAAACCTGCACTCACGTGAAACTTGGATAAGCTGACACAATACTCTTGTTTAAAGAAATGACATAGAAAAGGCATGACATCAACATACTTCGTAGTGCCTCAGGCTGCCTCACTGATCAACAGTGGTCTATCTCCGTCACCTTCAGTGTGAGCCAACGTCTGCAAGCATTAACCGAGCCGAGTCCCTGAGTGCCAGTCTAGTGGCATCCCACATTTGGTCACTCTCAGGCAATGGCCATGGGCCGTAAGGGATTGCAGGACGGATGCTGCGGGCTACCTGATGCAAATCTCGGCTAATGCCCAGATCATTCGCACTGCTTGGGATGCAAGCTGTCCGGAGCAGCTATAAGTTTTTGACGGACAGGCTGGTCACGAGCATGCAGGCAGCTGAAGTGCGGGGCTTGTGTCGGCTGTGCCGCTGTAACCCCACCACTGTGTGGAAGAGGCGCCTACGCCTGCCTGCGCAGGTCTGCTCCAGGCAGATGCGGCAGTGGCCCGTCAATGGCAGAAGAGGCGGGTGAGAAGCAAGTCAAGGCAATTACGAACTTTAGCAGGCGTGTCTTGCCACAACCCCAAGACGGCCGCGCGGACCTGCCAACTGCCAACCTGGCTCCTGAACCACCCGCCTAAAGCACATGCGGGTCCGGTCACTTTGTGCACCAGGCATTTGGGTGGAACACCTGGTCCTCTAAAGTGGCCAAATGGGTGTGGGAGCCAAGCGTCCCCGGTGGCAACAATGCCGGGCTCCTGCACCAAGGTGCCGGTTATAGGAGAGGCCCCTTTCGAAGTGCCGCTGTCCAAGGGGATCATTTGTATGGAGGGAGGACGATTCGGCCCAGTCAACACAAAAGCATCAAACGGCGCCTCGCTGTCACTGTGCCCAGTCGAGAACTGACGTAGGGGCAATGACGCATTTGACCGAAGAAATCGAGCAGTTGACTCTGCAAGGTCCCCACATCGAACTGCCTGGGGCAATCGACAATGAGCCCCTCAAGCCTGCTCCCCGCAGTTGAGAGAATGCTGGTGAGACCGGCTCTTTCGACCCCTGTCGGATCCTGCGAGAAAGTGAACCATGCTCGGGGGTGCTTGCCATGATCCAACTAACTTGCCCCTTTGTGCCAGTCTTATCCTCATCTTGAGCCTTCCGCAGATCGTCGATAGCATGAATGATACGGTCAGTGGCCAGCGCGGGTGTACTAGGTCCTAGCTGCTTTCCAAAGGAGGCGCCAGCCTTCCTAACAAGGCCCTGACCTAATCCGAACGAAGGGGGCCCAGAGGGAACAGGCTCAAAGGAGCTGCTTACCAGTGCTGGCCGCAGGGCGGTTCCTGGTGTTGGGAAAAGCTGCGAAACAACTGAGGGCGGTCCACCTCCGAGTGCGAGCAAGTGGTTACCCCTCAAAGGAGTCTGCGTGATGGCAAACTAATTCCGACCCGAAGAGCCGAGATCAGGACTGCGGCTCGTTCTGTCCGCTTCGGAAACGCATTCGACCTCACTCGTGAATAAGAACCAACAGGAGTTGGCGCTCGCCCCGAAAAATGGACGAAACCGAACCAAGACCGGTGCCCCCGCTTTGGGATGGGCCATCCTCTCTTCCCGAGTTGGGGGTTGAAATTCTGAAGCGGTGATGCTGAGCCGCACATCGCCGGTCGAAGAGCTTTGCTCTTCAAACCGCACAGCTCGACTGGGTCCCTGTTCTCGACGAGTGTCAGCAGATTTAGTCCTACGAATCGATTGGAGGAGGGGCTCCTCAAGTTTACGGCTTGCTCCCCGTGTGAATGGGCGGGGCTATTAGAGCGGCCTGTCTGGGCAAGGTGCTTTTTTCAAAGAGGAGTTCCTCGATGAGCACCGTGCACCTTGCTGAAACGTGACACAACGCTACACTTCCGCCCTTGGCAGGAAAGCATGTAGAGCTGGCTGTGATGGTTGCAAAGCCGCCCCTTTTTCAAGTCGGACAGTTGTAAGTTGCAAGTCATCAACTAGTAAGCGGGTGGGTTCCGTTGCAGCCCGGTCTTGACAACCTTCAGGGGCAAGAGCTCGTGGTTTCCCTGAAGCTCGAGCCCTATCAGCACTGCTTCACAAGGATCATTGCCCCTCGGTCACGAATGTGGCACGGTACGCACTCCTCAGCGCGGCAATCTGCGTGTTCCAGGGAGTCTGGCAAACTGCGGGCGGTGACACCCAGGATACGGTCAAGCTTAATCCACAAACCCTGACGGTCAATCCGTGTTCGGTGCGACCAATCAGGCTGAAGGCGGACTGCTCTCAGAGGAAAACGAAGAACAAGATCATGGGGACGGCGTCTGGTACCTCGACCTCGGACCTGGCACTGGTAGTATTCGGTATCTACCGGTGTATAGAGCTGCCTGGGCCCACGAGGTGCACGGCCGCGTAGACGGCGGGGGGCGGAGTGACCGGAAGGTGCTGAAGAGCAGGATCCACCACGTGTGCAGCCGCCCGTGACGAGCGCCATCAAATTTGTCCACCCGAAGAGCACCCTGAAGTTCCATCCGCCCCACCAGACAGAAGTAGCACTGGTAGAGGAGGAACTCAAGGGTGGTTCACCCGGTGGAGGAGTGGACATAGGAATGTCCGGCACGGGTAGCTCGGTCTGGTTCCCAAGGGACGGAGTCCACCATGGCAACCAGCTGTCTATAATACGAAGGTCGCGGCAACCAAACAGTTGCCGGCGAAGGCGGCAGCTGCCGAGCCCTGATATCAAACCAAATTGAGCCGAAAGTTCTTGAGCGGAACATTCGGTTCATTCGCTTGCAGAACTCTATGTTATACCTAACGAGCAAGTCTCCTGGTTTCGAACCACTCTTCTGCATGCTCTTTTGAACGAATTCTTACGCAAAGAATTTTGCGAGTGCACTGGAAGGTGCTTTTGCCACAATGGAGCTCTCTCCACTGCGCAGCAAGTCCCAGTGTGACAATGTCTTAGTCTTAGACAGAGGCTGGGTCCAGGAATTGGGACCTGGCGGATACAGACCGGCTCAGCAAAAGTAGCACATGGCTGAAAAGTGGGGCCAACTCACCGTACGGTTAGGAAGAGAGGCCTGGTAGTGACCTCTAGAAAGTTGGAGCCCAAGGCCTCTTCGAAAGCCGCGCGAGCTACCCTGCCAGTCTGATCCGTAGCGGCTAAGCTGCCAACAACAACAACAACCAGCACCAACCACACATCTTAATGACAAGAACAGCCACTATCGACAACCAGCTCAACAATGCGACTACAGACAATTAACACAGAAACAAGCAAGCTGCCGAGGAATGTCGCAACCAATACTTCATATATCATGACAACAATTCTACTGTTGCAAAGCAAGAAAAATGATACAGCGAAAAGTGTTAAATGAAAGCCAGGCTTCATAACATTGCTTCATGCCAGCACTGGCAATGATTGCAAGTGTAATGGTGACGGACGGGGGCATGGTCATGGCCAATGGAAGGGAGTAACAGTGTCAACGGTAAGCGCAGGAGTCGAATTTGATCCGATGACGAGAATAGTTACAATACTACTGTATAGCACTCATCACCACATACCACCACCATCAGAAGAACAGTATGTTGGACAAATAACAGAATCACATCATGCTAATGGGTATTCGGCACGCAAGCCCGCCTTTATTGTAGACCGGTGTTGTGTTTGACAACTGGTCCGCCGGGGCGACCCAGCCTTTGAGGCAGTGCTTGGGACCTCTAGCCGCCTCTGGCCTCTCGACCTTCTTCCCCTCTTGGCAAGACAGGAAAGGCCCTAAAACCAAATTAGCAAGAGCTGAAGGCCTGATCGCAGCATCGAGGGTGGAGTCCGAGGCCTTCGTTCTGGCCGGGATGAAAGCATGCTTCGTGCTTTCAGAGGCTGCCGAGTGGCGTTTGCGAAGCCTTCTGGGGCATTCCTTGGAGCAAGTTTAAGAGCAATGTAGTAACACACGTCAAGCAAAATGTAAAAAGTCTGCAGAGCATTGGAGCCGGGGATCGAATCTTCACTGGCACGTGGGCTTCCACGGGTGGCGTGGCCACCCCTTGCGGAAGCGTCGCCGGGGCCACGATCTGAGATTTCAATCCGTCCGCTGCCGGGCACTCCGAGCTGGGTCCCAGGTCCCGCGCCGTGTTCCGTGGGCTGTCCACTGAGGCCAGCCTCCAAAATCAAACAGAAGGAAAAGAGAGAAAGAGACCAAAGGGCTCAGATGGGCTCAGGGCTCAAGCAACTCGCCTCGTGGCGATGGTCACCCTCGGAGTTGGTTGAGGCTCCGGCCGGAGCTCGATGCCTATCATCGGAGTCTCAAGAGATTCCCGACATGAAACGGTGGGATCTGAGGAGCCGGCGCGGTGTGCGTGGGAAGGGATTCTGGCAAGGAGCCGAGACCTAGCACCACCCTATCCCCTGCCCATCTTTCTCGGACTTTCTCGCTTCTCCTAAGCCCAGGGCCTGTCGGACGGGCTCGAAGGATTGCGTAGAAGCATATGTCGGCTGGGAGTATAGCCGAGTACACGACAGCCGCACAGGGGCCTCAGTCGGACCCACAGAAGGTGCTCGCGAGCTTTGGAGCTTTGCGGTTCAAACACGTGCAATAACCTAGTAGGCTGGACTCCGGCAAAATTGGGGACAAACAGGTCGTGCCATCAGGGCACGCTTGGAGCCGCGAGCGTTCGGTGGGAGACGACAGGGCTTGAGACGCACCTGGGACAAAAACGGCGCAAAGCCTAAGGACAGCCAGCTCTCACTCATCGCCAACGCACGCCGTGATTCTAAGTTGGGCACGACGAGGGAAGAGACACTGTCCTGGGTGATGTTGGCAAAGAAGCCACATGCGCTTTGACCCAGTAAACACGCCTCAGTTCGCAGAGCGATGTACCCCCTGCCAGAGGGCTCCAACTGCCACGACCATATACAGTCTCTCTGCGTGCAGGGGTGCGGCGGGTAAACGGGCTGCTGAGGTGACAGTCCGGCAATCATTTTGACGGCCTGAGCTGCTTCGTCGAGAGAAAGAGTTTTCTCAGTACCAACATCACACAACCCCCCCCCCCGCCCCCATCCCCCCCCTCCCCGGCTGAAGGAGCAGGCAAGCTGCGTCTGGGTGACCGCTCCTTTGCGGAGAACGGACATCGCCTGCGTCTCCTGTTACGCTTCGCTGTCCTTCAGGATGTGGGGTGTGGGGTGTCTGAAAGTGCTTAGCTGCCCTGCATAGCTTAGCTGCACCCGCGTCTCTCGGGCCTGAGCCAATCGCGGCTGCGGTTGTCGCACTCAGCAGCAAGGCAGAAGCGACGGTAAGCGGGTCTCGGACCCAGAAAAAGCCAGCTCTCATTTTGGACACCGACACTGGGCGCAGACTGCTCCCTCAGCACACGAGTGTGGGCCCGTGGACTCGTTTCCCTTTGTTGACTGCAGCGGTCAAAGCCGTGGAGGCAGACACGCCAATCCCTGCTGCTAGTTCTTGTAGTGTAGGCCCTTGGTGCTCCGTGGCCTTTGTGCTGGCGTTGCGTGGGGACGGCGGTTGTTGGGGGCTAGTCGATGGTGCACAGTGCCGTCAACTCGTCATCGGCCAGGGTCAAGAGCTCCTGCAAAGCAAACTTCCGCGAAGACAAAAGCCTCGGCGCAATGCCCGGGGCCTGGCCAGCTTCGAGGCGTTGCAACTCTCCAGGGCCCAGCACGGCCATCACAGGCAGCGGTGGGCTGAAAGGAGCTCCGGCCAGCACCGCGTTCAGCAGCTCCTGCTCTGCTGTCAGGTCCTGCCCCTCATGGCCCTGTGGCACTTTCCACTCCGAGCGGCTGCACCGCCACCAGGGGCGAGGTCTTCGGCATCCGCGTAAGTGGCACCCTCACACGCAAGAGCTTGCGCTTGCATGCGCAATGAGATCCCCATGATCTTCTTTGCATTTCTCCGCTCTTCCTTGCTCTCTCGCTCTCTGGCCTTCGGCGGCCCCAGAAGGCCAAGCCGCTTGAGACGTCCCAAGAGCACCTGAGCAACAGCTTTCTGGTGGCCTCCGAGTGGAGCGATGTGCGGGCGCATCTCGCCGTGTCGCCTTGCAGGGGCCGCAGTAGTCGGCGCCAAAGACGATGACACCAGGCGCGCGTGAAGCCAGGAGTTCTGGCAGACCTGTTGCCCAACGCCATTTTTGCACTGGACCCTCCACCAACTCAGAACGTTTCATGACGATTCGACTTACTGCCAAGATCCCCTTTTCAACTCCTGCCTCCCTGGCTCGCGGCCGCACGCAGGCTCTGCCTAATCTCCCTGTGTCGTGGAGTGCCGCTGGGCGCGACGAAGGCTACTTGAAAGTAGCTGCAGAGATGCAGCACCGCGCAGCACCAGAGCAACTGGGCCGGTCTGCATCCGGGCCCACGGGACATCGCACTACGATTCTCTGGCTTAGGTTCTGCGCAGATCTCACTCCTGAAGTCCTAACGAGTGCTGGGACCATCAATGGAATCTGTCGGAGGATATGCCGACTACTGTGTGTTGTGACTCGTTCGCAACATGTTTTCCATGGGCCTAGGAATAACGCAGTCAGCTGCGTTATGCAGTGCAGGACATATATCGACAACGGCCTTGTTCTGTAAGCTCGTCAAAAAATCCTGTCCTAGGCTCCGCAGAGTCCCCAATACGCTGTTATCAATGGCTAGAAAAGGTTGGTTCTAGAGACGCGGGACGGCAGGGCGGGGGGGTGCCGCACATGCCTGCTTGAAAGCTTTATGCCTGCGTGAAATCTTGTGTGCAAGCATCTGGTTTATCAGCAGCTTCTTTCAAAATTGCAGAGCATAGTAATTAATGGCGAAAAGCTCCTGAGGTCTGAGAAGCCAGCAGTGTCCGGCCCTGCAGAAATGAAGCCACCTTCCGGACACTAGTCTGATGTGCTGGTCATCACCCCCACAATTGTCCTACTCTCCTTTTGGTCCCCCAACCTCGCTTTCAACCGTGCTTCGCGCTGATTCACCGAACTGATTCACCTTGGGACCGGAGGTCGTCAGCGACGTAGCAGCGTCTTTTTTCTGCAGCACGGGTCCATTTTGGAACAGCACACAATGATAAGCTCATCCAAGATTCCAGAGCCGACTTGAGCGCATTGACCGCCTGACACGATTGACCAAGAAGGTACTGTCGCAGTCTTGAAGCACGACAAGTACTTTGTGTGGTGACAATGTTGTGTATATATGTACACGTGTATGTATGTGTATGTGTATATATATATACACACACACACATAGAAATATACATATACATATTCATATACATATATATATATACACGTGTGTGTGTGTATTTATTCGTGAATATAAATACAAATATAAATCTAAATATAAAATATAAATATATATCAGAATATAATACAATATAATACAATATCATATCATTAAATATGTAGTAAAATATGGCATGGTATAGCATGATATGACATGTTATATTACAATATAATATGATATGATATAGTTTTGTGTAATATAGTTTTCTCCGTTATATTGTATCATATCAAATTTTGTTTTGTTATATATTATATTGTGTTATATATATTATATATATATATATAAAGTCATACTATGTTATAAATCATATTATATAGTGCAATCAATATATATATATATATGTGATTCTTGTAATATTGTCTTATATTCGAGTATATTACATTCTATTATCTTATCTTTTCTTTTCTTATCTTTTATTATATTTTATAGACATATGGGTGGGTGGTTTTGCTAAAGACATGCCGAGAAAGAGACCAATATGAACTGAAAGTGGCTGGGAAAGGCAGGCCTTCGGCGGGACCATGTCGCAGCATGCGCTGTGGCTTCCAAGGCCTCAGGCTACGCAGTCCTCTAGAAATTTTTTACCAAAACTCTCGAATCAATATGCGTGTTTGCTTGCCTTTTGGGTTCTGGGGATAGGACCCGAGACGGCTCTCGGCACCTTCGGAAGCTGAGAGCGAGAGGCCTTCTTCCCGGAGAGCCGGACATTGCGGACGGCCAGACGGGAAAGGGTAAACAGGTCAGTCTGGAGTGGAGGGGTTGTTTGGGGGATTCCAACCTCGCTTTGCGGTTTTGAACTTGATTTGCGACGAGCAGTCGCTTTTGCTCCAGGTGCCAACCGCGACCCAGGGTGGGGCGACGTTTAAATCCACGCTGCGACAGCTGCGCTTTAAGTGCAGCTGGAGTGCAAAATGAAATGATTAGTGGAGCCTCACCGCCAGCGGCGTCATGCTGAAACTTTGCTCCACCTGGGAATCGATCTCGTCGGAGTTGCTCTCCTCAGGTCGGCAGACAGCTGACAGCTTCCTCAGATCCCCCCCCAGAGATGTCGCCTCGGCGAGGTTCGAATAGCCTGCTCAGAGAGCGACGTGAGAAGTTTTCGAATGTCTGACGTCTTTGTTGCCGGGACCCAGGCGCATCTTGGCACAGCTGTACAAGACCGCCCCTGCGGCGGAGACCTTGGGCGCTCTCGGAGCTTTTTTGTGGATGAAGGTGTTTTTTTCTTTTTTTTGCGTGGCCCTGATTTAACTTTTCTCGCAGCTTTTCACTTAAACCGATCCATGGCTCCCTCGAAACTCTCAGGAGTTCAGTGGCCGCTGTTTGGTGCCACTTTCCCCCACTCGGCAGGCAGAAATCTCCACGCCCAGGGGAGGGAAGCGGAAGACAGTCAGGCCGGTCTGAAGATTCAGACTCCTCACCTTGGCTTTTGTGACCCAGAAAGGCCGGGTTTCCAACTTATCAGTGATCTCTTGTGAAGGGTATATAGCATAATGTAGGATGTTGATGCGTCAGCTCTTGTCGGCTTAGGGTTCAAGGCCTCTTGCCCCTGCCGCCCCAGCTGTGAGGCCCAGGAGCAGGAAAGCGACTCAGGTCGCGCAGGAAGAACACCTCGGGCGCGGATAGTTTCGCCGAAGAACCGCCAAAAAGCTCCGAGACTTTTTGATGCCGTTGAATGGACTGCGGGGGCCCAGGCCCAGTATGCTGCGGTTTTTTATAAGTTGGAAGGGTCTTTGATTTGGGAGCTTTCGACCAGACCAGGGACTTTAGGCCGGCTCGCGGCTCGCTCGTGACAGTCTGTGCACGGGACCCAAGTGGTTTGCTGGAAGGCAAATGGGGAATGGCAGGACATTTTGCAGGGACCCTTGTCCTACAAGTCTGCTGCCTTTGGTTGCACTGTGCAGGCGGATATCACAAACCCTAGCTCTGACACCACGCACTGGCTTGCATTAGAAAGAAAAACACGCACAGAGGTCTTTGAAATGAACAAAAAGTTCAGGAAGAGCCTTGGTCTCATTTTCTGAAAGCTGAATCCAAACTGTATCCCCGGCATTTCCTCTTCTCAGTGCTTCGACGAGTTTTTTGGGGACCGGGCCCTGGCGAGGTCGCTGCCCACTCGGTCGCCTGCTTCGGGCTCGGGTCGCGGAAGCGGCGAGTTGAAATCCTCGGCAGCGGACGAGACAAAAACGCGTGCGCGAAATCGCTTTGGTGCTTTAAGCCCTTGGCCCTTTCTGTATTGATTTTATATGGGCAGATATAGAGGTGCTGATCACCGGACCTCCCATATCGCGAGTGAGTGAGTTCTGGATGATTTAGGTTTCAGGGTCACATGTTAGAGGAGCTGAGACCTTGTTCTGCGATTGGTGCGGGGTTTGTGCAGCCTGAGGCCATCACATAGAATATTCTTAACCCACTGCCATAACAGAACACCCTAGCTAAAAATCAGCTTCTTGTCGTTTTGAAGGAGACAAGCGTCGATCCAGAAGTCGGAAAAGTTGACCTCCACCTCATCGCTAGAAAGAGTCGCCAGTGTCCCAGCTGCGTTCAGCCAACCGCGGCCAAAAGGACCCTGCCATGGACTGCGGAAGATAGATGCCCGGCTAAGGATGTGGCAGCACATCTAGAACGATCCGACTCTTTGTTGCTGTCCTTACCCTTTCATGGACATGGTTCGAAGTGCACACAGACTCTCCGAGCCTCGAAGCGAGCAAAGGACCTGATTCTGGGGGAGGTATCCGCCGTCGGGGGAGCAATGTCATAATAGACGTCCAGCTGGGTGAGAGCCAGAGAGCCAAGTGTGCGGAGGTGCGGAGCATAGGTGACACGCCAAAGACCAGCCCAGTCCGACTCGGCGCCGGCAGCTGCACTGCCTCCGCTTGCTTTCAGGAGCTCCTCCGTGGCTTCGCGCGTCCCATCCCCGCTCCAAATCGGAAAATCCACGGACAGATCCCCATTCTCACAGAGCACCACCTCGCTGCTGGTGACGCCCCGCGATGCGGAGGCCGCACGCGCGCGGTGCCCCAAGCCCAGAGCAGCTGAGAGGCCACAGAGCCCAGAGAGCAGCACTTGGCGCCGGTCGAAAATTGTCTTCTCGCTCACAACTCGCCTGGGTCCAGCAGGCCACTTGGGTCTGCAGAACTGGATAAAAGGTCGTGGGAGTGGCTTTGCGGCAACAGGGACGGGGACGGGTGTTTTGAAGCCATGGCCTGAGAGCATCCTGTCAAGTAAGTCCGTGTCGAATGTCCCAAGCCTTAATCTACACTCCTGCAAATGCTCGGATTCTGCGGGTGGACCGTCGGCTTATTATGCTAGCGAGTGGCCCTGCAGGCTTATTTCCGCAATGCTTATGCGGGCAACGTTGAGGTTCGACAGTGATCGACATGGCAGGTGCAAAGCAAAGCCTGCAACACGACTGGCCGAGCTAGTGCTCTCGTTCAGAGGTCCGAGTGAACGGCTGCATACCCAGCTTGCTGTGCCGTGGTAAACCTCTGGGAGGAAGGAATACATGGAGGACTGCAAACAGTCTGACACAACGGAGGAACTAGAGGGCCTCTCGCCATCCGCAATTAAGAAGAAGAGCACCTTGCCCGGCCCGCACTCTTCCCGCCAGAATTGCGTTTATGCGTCCATGCATGAGCCCTTCGCGATCGCAACGTCGTGGAAGACAGAAAGCACGGAAACCTCAACATGGAGGATTCCGCAAAAAGCCAAGCGCAGATGGCAGCTTGGGTCCCAAACTGTCAACGGAGACGTAAGCTGCGTAAGACGCAGCTGGAACCTTGGCGCGGGCTGGTGCCAGTGTGCGCTGAGGTGGACGCCATGAAGCCAAGCCGCACCAATATGCCAGTCGCGCTGGCAGCAACCTCGGCTACATTCTGAGCGGTCGGGCACCTTCAACCCACAGCTTCCCCAACCCCGCCCCCGTCGCACGAGCTCGGTGCTGCTACTGCCAGAGGCATGGAGGGGAGCGTCCAGTCCTTGCCCAATGGCAGGATGGCCAAACCTGGCTGGAGAGCTGCTGCCAAGTCGACAATGGAGGTACATTCAGAGGTACCTAAGTGAGCGCACGACATACTTTATGCAAGATGACGCAAGATAGCTTCACCGATCTGACTCTGCAAGACTTGCCGGTGATGCTAACCAATCCGGTCACCTGCAGCCGCCAAGCGGGTGATGTGGCGCAAGCACCCTGGCCCGAAGGCCTACTACCCCTTCTTCTTCCTTCGGGCACAGAGGGCTGTTAAGGCCCTCCGGGCTCTAGGCCTCCCGTTTGCTATCCGGGGCTTTTGGAAGGGCGTGAAAACTCGGAGTGGGAAGTCACCAAAGTTCATAACAACCTTGATGCCTGCATCACTCACCGCAACATAAAACGGTTTTGCGGGGCTGGAAAAAACATGCATCGGCTTGGATAATATGACAGCGGAGTGAAAAGTCAAATCGGTCAGCTCCCCCGTGCCAGGAAATGCAATAGATTGTCCCCCCGAAGTAGCGGGGTAGACGGTTGTCTAATTTGGTAGCCGTGTTAATGGCTCCGGCGGCCCGTCTTTAAAAATTGAAATGAAACTTAGATTTTGGCTACCCCTTGCTTGCTTGCTTGCTTGCTTGCTTGCTTGCTGGGCGTTTCGGGTGCGAGGTTACCCCCACAACCCCGCTACCCCCCGCTCGCTCTCTCTTTCTTTCGGCAGGGTTAGGGGCAGAGGGGTTTCCCTCTCTCTCTCTCTCCCTCTCTGCCTCCCTCCATTCCGCAGTCCCGTTCAAGGCTCAATTCCTTGGGCCGATACTGGGTTGCAAACGAAGGCAACCTGTGCCTTCGAGGGAGGCTGCTGGGCCGAATTCACAAACCTCGGGGGCAGGAATCCAAAACAAATCAGCAAAAGGATGGTGGTCCCAAGCAAGGATGGTAAGTCTACAGAAGCCTGCTACATAGTTTTTGAGCATCGGAAGATGGTCAAGCCACCGCACGACACATTTTGATGCCTAGACATTGTCGTCTTCTGCACCGGGTTTCGTATGTTGGGAGCTGGCACTTGGCGGGTGCACCTGCAGTGCAGGCAGCAGAGGCCACGCTTCCAAAATCGCTGTACAGAGAAACCTTTCGGCCGGAGCGGCCAATGCAGCCCCAGAAAAAATCATGAACTACACAGATTGGCCCGCCTCCTTCGAGGCATCTAAGCTCATCTAGGCGCCCGTGCCTATGTAAAGGAAGCTTCGGCGGTCGGCTGCCACATGAACACTGCATGCATTCGGCCCATGGTACATCCAGCGGCCAGGCATGCAAGGATGCACCGGGGCCCATCATCTCTCGAGAGGCCCATAGAGGCAACTCCCGCAAAAGCAGCCTCCTTGCGTCTGCTCCATCTCTAAAACGAAGTAACATGGCCCCTTTCTCGGCTTTTGGCTGAAGGCACAAGGGCCCGGTAAGCTCTGCGGCGTCGTGCTGTTGCAGCCGTTGGACTTTACCGTCAACATCTGCTAGCTGCACGCTGCTTTCCACACAGAGCAACTAAGCCTGTCTTGCTTGCAGATCCATCTTCGGGAGAGAAACTTGGACTGGGTTCGGAGAGAAAGATGTTGCAGTTCTGGTAGATTCGCACTGGTGCCTTCTGGCCCCCCTCGGCGTCACACACAACGTGGGCCCACTGGCGCTTGGCCTGGGACATGACGATGATACACCAAACCCTCTCTGTCCTGTAGGCCTGTATAGCTTCTAGAAGTCTAGAGTCTAAAGCTACATGGCTTCCACTTTTCGGACATGCTTGCCGGCAATGGAGCCATACTGCTGGCGTAGCCCCCGCCTGCGAGGCAGCACCCAGCAATGGCAGGCTTCGCTCTGCATTCATGACACGGAGGATGCCGAAGTTGTCTGACCCGCCATCGTATTCGGCAAAGTTGAAATGAAATCGAGATTTCAGCCAGTTCCGATTGGTCCAGCCTGGCTCATCAAGCTGTGGGTTTGGACGGTTCCCGAAGTAGACCGGATTTGGCTCGCTGACGTACAGCTGGCGCTGAGGGATCGTTCACACTGCGCCAGCGACACTAGCCGGGGCCGTCTTCTCCGCCCCGAGCCGGCAGCCAAAGGCACCGAAAGGCATGGGCTGAGCTGGGCCAAAGATGAGAGACGAGGCTGTTGCGGGGCAAATGCTGAGTCCTGAGCCTCGCGGTTTGAAGTTTGAAACAGCGCTTCCCCGCCCTCTGCAAGTCTGCAGTAGGTCTGCGATGCAGCTGGGCTGCTCGTCGCTTGGGCCGCCCAGAAGAAGCTTGATCGCCGTGAACCTGCGTCTCTTGGCTGTGCTCGAGAGGCTACAGTAGGCCTCTACGCCGCCTCCCTCGCGGCTGCAGCTACTCTGCAAATTGCACTTTTTGGGGCTGGTTTTGCAAGGACGAGCCCGCATTGCGGGGTAACTGCGCAGAACAGTGGACTACAGCAGTTCTCAGTTGAGGGTCGAGCTTGAAGGCATAGGCGAGGCCCGATCCGAGCTGAAGCGAAACCTCGGAGTGCAAATTAAATAATCCATAATCATGAAGCCGAGGCGACTGTCAACAAAATCCCAAGGTCTTACTCATGACCGTGCCTGCATCTGCCATTCCCATAATGAAAACCAGCGGAAGACACAGGAAACACATAAGGACGGAAGTCGGCAATGTGGAACAACCAAAATACGAGCAGGCAAAGTCTTCAGCTCGAGTACAGTACTGATTTGCTCCTGGAATCTTGCATAGGGACATTGCTCGAATCGACCGTTTTTGACAAGTCATTGACCGTTCTGCTTTTCAACTTGACATGTCCCCCGAGCGGCATGCTCTCAGCCTCCGGCCCCAACCATGCTGCTGTTCCAAGCTCCCTGGCACCGGCTCGGACGTACGAAAGTCCCTTGACGCAGAAGACCCCAGAAGACCCCCTAAAACCCCAAAAAACCTTGCAAACCCGGACGCCCCAGAAAACCCCTGTGCTCTTTGTGAAAGGGGCGGGTTCCTGGGGTCCTCAGCCGTGGCTCCCGGCTCTCCCCTCCCACGGCTCATCACGGCTCTCTGCCCTTGGGGAAGTTCCCTCAACTCTGGAGGTGACTTCCCTGAAACATTGAATTTCTCGTGCACTGCCAGAGCTCGGAAGAGTCGTGACTTTTGTTGATTGTGGAGGCTTTTGGGGGGGCTTCGGGTTGGATTAACTTCCACCTCCGGCTGCATGTTATATACTTGCAGTCTGCACTTGTGGCATCTGGGAGGTTGCAGGTGCCGGGCGCCAAGCCCCGGAGTCTTCAAAAGCTGCCGACCTGAACTTCAATCGCTGCTCTCTGTCCAGCACCAGAACTAGAACCATGAGAACCCTCACCCGGCACGCTCAGTGGACCAGTTCAGCACCGTCAAAGAGAAGGCCTGCACGCCAGAAGAAAGAGGTCAGAACCACCAGGGGCCCTCTGCATCTCAGCCTCACCCTTTTTCGCTTTTTCCGGCCGCGAGGAGAGGGCAATCGGAACCATGTCGCGCCCTCGCGAGGCTTTGGCAGTCCGAGCAATTCGACTCGAGGCTGCGAAGGACATTGCAGTAAAGCTGCAATGTTACAAAGACAAATGGAATTCCGGGGGTCTTTTTCACCTTCGTGAAAAAACGGCTCCCGCCGGTGCCTTCACACCGGCCTAAGATGTGCTACATAAACTGGTCCACGATGGAGACAAGCGTGAGCACCGCCATCAATGACAGATTCACCTGTCAGGCACAGTACTGGAGCTTTGCCGTGTGGTTCTATCCATGCATATAAACCTAGCTTGTCCGGCGCCCGGGCCCAAGCGATGATCTGCCACAGGCGCCGAGGCTTCGCAGCTTGGCATTGGAGGCTTTCCCACGCCGACGTCTTCCAGAAGGGCTTTCCTTCCGCCTAAGGCTTGGGGTTTCTGCTTCTGCCTGAGGTAGGGCTGCAGACTTTCCTGCCAGGCTGCGAGAGGGCGAGAGCACTCGCCTCGAAAAGGGCAGGAAAGTCACTCGGCTCTTCCTGCACCCCGAACTGGGGCCACGGCGAGCGCTCATCAGCGTTGCGGTCTGCTCGGGCTGCCTCAGCCTCAGGGCCACAGCGAGGGCCGGGAACCTAGCGCCTGGGCCTTCACATGCCTTAACGGAGCCGGGGAGCGCCGAGAGGAAGAAGAGGCTGGGCGCCATAAGATTGACGAAGGAGGACGTGAAGGTGCCGGAGAAATCCACGGCATTCTTAAAGCCTCCCAGGCCCGAGGCAGGGGCCTGATCTCATGTGGTCTCAAAGCTTCCCCCCAGCCTTCGCCAGTGTAGAGAAGGACGGACACCCCAAAGGGAACAAGCACGGAAGCAGCACCTGCCACCTGCAGACGCGACAGCTTCCAGAAAAAAATGCAGACAAGCAGCCTCCACTTAAAGCCTGAGCGAAAAAAAGCACCCAGCCTTGGGGCCCATGAGCTTGCTTTCTATCAAGTTGTAGCGCATGAGGATGGAGAATATGGGGATCGAGGCCAAATTCGCTGAGATGGCATAGGCCTGTACAGTGACAAAGGCCTCAGCCGGCGGAGCCAAGGGTGGGATCACGAGGCCCAACGGGAAGCTTATTGGAGCCCTTTAATGCAGCCGCTGGCACTGTGGATCGAACCAATCGCGATCCATCCTGGCCAGCAGAAGCAGCTTCATGGTCGGAACATGCGCGATTCTCATGAAAGGCACGTGGCCAGTACAGAACCAGCGATACCCAGGATGAGGCTTTCTAGGGGAATACATGGGAAGTCCCGGCGCCCGGGTGCATGATCACACTGTTGTATATTTTCTCCGCATTAGGCTCTGACCTGTCTTTTCGATGTTGCACTTAGACTGCCATGATTTGGTTTCTCTCACCTTGCTCATGCCTCCAGAGAAACAGTGACTTCGTGGGAGCCACGACTTCCAACCGCGACCGTTGAATCGCGACCACTCTCTGATTCAGCATGAGATGACGGCAAGTTACTCTTCCAAGCACTCCAAAACGATTGCAGGATTTTCTCAGACGCCTGTCACTAACACATGTTGGAACATCATGGTCAAGACCCACTCAATGGATAAAGCGAAATCCGATGTCACGGCTGCAGTTAAGGCATAGAGCTCCTTGAAGATAGAGCAGTGTACGTAGCTTACAAGTGCCCGAATGAGCTAGGCACAACACACACTATAGCAAATTGTGCGCTGCTCACGAAATTCTATTCTTGGGATCTTTCGCCGCTTCGCTTCCGTTCTTGGCGCGGGGAAGTCCTGAGGGGAGATGTGGTTCAGCTGAGAAAGCAGGGTGTTGTCTGTCTTGAAGTAGGGCTCGAAGGCCATGCCGCCCAGGATGCCAACCATGAGGTATCCTCAGCTGGGCTTACAGCACGGGCAGGGCGTCCCGCCTTTATGGGCCAGTTGCGATTTTAGTCGAACCCTCCTACAGTGCTACAGTTGCAACGATGAGCCAAGAAGAGGCTTACGTCTTACGTTCCTGGCACTTCCAAGACTCCCACCACTGCCAGGGCCAGGGTTAGCAGGATCGTTCTTAACGGTGGCACCTGGGCAATGGGCTAAAGGGCGAAGTGCTGCCTTCAATACACGCTAAAGCGCCCTTTGGCTCTGCTCTCCAAGCTGCTCCCGGCTTCTTCTCGCAGACCCAGGATGGTACTGTAGAGATAAACCTTTGGCTTTGTTGCCATGGATCTTATAAGGGAGTCCTGCAAGTCAATGCCTGTAACGCGAGATCGCGAGCTTGAGAACCAGGACACCAAGGACGTGACACCATACAAAATCCACACCAAGCAGCATGAAGTTAAAGAGGATAGTGCCCCCCATGTTGTGAAGGGAGGTCCCCACTGCTGGCACCCGTTCAGCTTCGAGGCCAAGAGCACAGAAGATGAACATCCAGAGTAAGATCCTGAGCCCGGACTGCAGGACGCTCTGCATGTTCTGTGAACCTTGAGACTTGACCTAGCTTCCCTTCTTCTTTCTGAGCACCTGTGAACGTGAGCAATGCACCCCAGTCTGTGCGCCAGGTATGGATTCCGCTGCCGGGCCACGACAGAAGGATGACGAAGAGCGCTGCATTTTGCACCTCCAGGGCATCTACACCTACCCATGACTACGCGGCTGGCTGAGGAGGTCCTGCAAACGGTTCAGCTGCACGCATCAACGACAAGACCCGAAAATTTCTCACCTTCACGTTATCCTCCAGGTTCCAATAGCCCAAAGGGATGCTGACGAGTCCGACACTGCACATCCCAAGAGAGAGGACCACCTCCCAGTTTGAAGAGCTGTGCAAGGCTACTGTCATTGAGGGCCTCGGAAGTGTAGGCAGACTTACTTGGTTTAGGATGTGGGGCGGAATGTCAGGAGAGCAGGTTCCAGCTGCCTTCCCAGCACCGAAGGGGGTTACATCCTGGCTGGAACTCTGGCAGAATGGATGGAAGACGCTCGGGTAGAACATGAGGGCACATGAGTCACCGAAGACAGTGTCGAAGAAATAGTCGAAGACCTGTTGGCAGACGGATGCTCAATGCTCTCTCTCTCCTGTGTCTGCCCGTGCTCGCGCAGCTACTCAGCTGCTGCCTGCGCTGTCTGGATGATGTTACTGATGTTGGCCGTGAGCATCGCAAGCTGAAAGAGGCCTAACCGAGTACAAGGGATGGTGAGACCCAAAGAAAACCTAAACCCGAAGGTCATGCACAGGATGGCTGCACATGACCTTCTTTGGCCGTCGGCCTTGGAAGATCTGGGCCACTCTCGAGTTGAAGTAGTGCCGGCAGAGCGTACCATACTCAACTCGAACATCGAAATCCTGACGATTCCGCAGCCTCTCGGCTTTTCAGAAGCTTACGCATCCTTTGACACTCCTTCGCAGTAGCTCTTGAAACATAGAGCGACGCAACTCTTTGTTTGAAGTCCCTGCAGATCACCTGTTACACAAGGTCCCAGCCGTCCTGGTTGTTTGGGTACGCACGCATTGCTGCCAGCAGCATGGCCTTTTGTGTGTGGTTAAAGTGACCGAGAGGTCGGCCCGTCGACGGTTCTTTTGCCGAGAGGCCCCGCTGAAGATGCTGGAAGCAACGCAGACCAGCACCAGGAAAGTCGGGGGCAACCAGCCGCTCTGCTGGTAAAGGCTGGAGAAGTTGGCGATCCCGGGCCTCGGCTTCGCTTCACGGAGCGGCTTCGGGCGCGGTCGAAGAAAGGGTCTGAGCTGCCCGGCCCCAAGATGTTGTTCAGCAGAACTGCGAGGCTGCCCATCAGGCCGATGCTCTTCGCGCCCCCCAAAGAGGCCCGGGACGCGCCGGAGGCCCCAGACCTCGGCTCTTTCAAAAACTCCGCAGCTCACCCGCAACCTTCGGAGCCGAGGCGCTCGAAGGAAACCGCCATTCTGGGAGCTGCCGTCGTCCGGGGTGCCGATGCAGTGCTTTGCTGGTTTCTTGAAGAGTTTCTCCTTGTGGTGCCTGTTTTGTCCGAATCCTCTGGACCTACGGCTCAGCTGTCCTTGTGGGATAGTCAGCGACGACCTTAATTCACACCGTTTTTCTACGGGTGCCCAGAGATCTCAAAATTTCTGTTAAAGCGCTTCTTAACATGCTCTCCCGATCTCCAGGCTTACATCTGCTGCGTATTGGCTTTGCTGCCCGGGCGTCCTACGCTGCTATTGGAGCCTGTCGCGATGGCGTGCGCTCGCAACTTGCTGCCGAAACGGGTCCACTATCGGGTGATCGCTCTCATGTCGCAAATCAGACCTGCCTGGTCAGACATGATGGTCCTTAGTTGGGCAGTATAATACTGCAAGTGCCCGCACAAGATGTGAACAACCTCCCTCTTGAGCAGTGACAAGCGCTGTGGAGAGCTCCAAAAAAACACGGAAATCCAAAACAAAGCCCTGAGCCCTGAGCCCTAAGCCGAAACGGCCCGCCAAACCCCCACGGGGGACCGCCCCAAGGCATGAGAAAAGATTCTGTAGCATCTGCTCGCCACCGCCGGCGTTGGAGCCATCCACGGCTATGACCCGAGAGCTCAGGCCCTCAGCGCACAAGATCTGATTAAAAAATTGATCGAAGGAATTGGATTGTGAAACATTCAGAGACTGCAAAGTATACCCAGCACTTCGGAATTCTTGGAAACCCCTCTCAGCCCGCGCAACTGATGCGAGGTGCAATGCGCCGGTCCTCCGGTACGCTGGCATTGTAGTCCTTCGGGCGCCGGCTGGATGTACAGAGGACGGAATTTGCAGCAGGATACTAGCTGATGTGCGCACTGCAAGATAACAGTCCGCGACGATGCCGCCGCCAGTTATGGTGCTGATTCCTCGTCCAGAGCTGCACTTCAGTTCTGCCTCCTGCCTTCTCCCGCAAGGCCCCGACCGACCGAGGTGCGGTGCGCTCTAAGCCTGGGTTAAGCCCGATGAAGCCGCCAGCGGGCCCGAAATACCAGTCGGACGGTAACGATCGCCATCTGAAATCTCAGGCCCTGTCTCCATTCCAAGATCCTTGTTTCGATGCTTGGAGAGGTCGAGAGAAAATCGCCGAGGCTGCTCGAAAGTCAACTCCTCCGTGGACATGCAGCCAATTTGGAAGTGGATGGACACGCATCCCGGTCCAGCATGCCGTCGAGGCAGTAGATCTCTTCCACTTTCCTCACCAGGTCCTGTCGTTGAAAGGTTGTTGTAACAGCGACGACGGCAACGACGAGGACAACGACATCGACATCGACATCAACAATGACAGCCAGACTCATCAGATTCACGCCAGTCGAAAACGAATGAGCATGACCGAAAACAACAATATCCGTCTGGCCTGGCTACCTCCCCTCATTCCGTTCACGGCCAGAAGGCGCATCCACTGGGCGGCAGCCTCTTGACGACATCCGTGATTTTGGACAACCGGGCCAAGCTACCTGCAGGACATTCATCCTGCGTCATGCTAAGCCCGAAGGTCTAAACGTCTAAACCCTATACTTTATCAAGCCTAAACCCAAAATTGCGCATCTGGCCTTGCCAGCAGATGTCATGCACTTGGCCAACAATCCCTCTGGTGTGATGTCCTGCCCAACAAGGGCCGAAGGCAACAAGCATTCCCAGGGCGGATACTGATAGCATCCCACTAGTTGTTGCCATCATCAGAGCAACCGCAACAAGACAGATGGAAAGGAAGTATAGCAGCTAGCCACCCAGCACTATCAACCTCTTTGACAATTTCCAGGCCCGTCTGACAACCCCGAACAACATCCACCTGGGCAGAAAGCCCGAAAACTGCATGGGCTACAGTGCTGCGCCTTCACCAGGCAACACTCGGCGTCCTGAGCAAGCCGACTTGCTATTGCACGCAGCACAGTACAATAAGCTAGACCAGGCAACTCAACATAACAACAAATAGCACAACTCTGAAAATGATGTTAGTATATATACATATATATATACACACAACATACTAGTCCAGACTAGACTGTGTCGCCGGGGGCGGTCCAAGCCCCGTCCCAAAATTTCCGGTAGCAAAACTGGAATCGAAAATAGTCGGTTTGGAGCAATGCCCACACCTTATACATACTTATGCTGACGTACATATATCAACACATTCGGTTCTATCATAATTACTACCGTATATCATACAATATTGCGGACGTGTGTATTGATACGCACGGTATCAACTTTTTCTATATGCAAACTAAACGCGTATATACATATACCTCATATACGTGCGCCTGCATGTATGCAGGTATGTATGTGTGTATGTATGTATGTATGTATGTATGTATGTATATAATTATGCATGCATGCATCCATGTATGTATCCATGTATGTATGTATGTATGTATGTATGTATGTATAAATGTATGCAATGGTACAGGAAACATGTAGAGATTCATGTATAAAAATAAATAAACAAAATAAATACCTCTATAGATATGCTTATGAAAGACATATGTATGCATGCTACGCATGTATGGCCAACATCATCTGTGTGGTTGTGCACATGGACACGCACATATGTTTGTACTTGGGTACATCTATGTTATATATATATATATCCACACACACACACA